GAAAAGTGCAATAATAATGGGGGGGGCATGTTTGAAAACTGCATTAATACCTTAAGTTATCGGGGCCTTAATGTTGTGGTTTGAGGTACAGTCCATATTTAAAGGTTATTGGGCTTTGTGGGGACCGACATGCGGGGTCCGCAGGCTTCGGGTTTAAAGGCTTCAGGGTTTAAGGTGTAGGGTTTAGGGTTTATGGTTCAGGGATAAGGCTTAGGGTTCACGGTTTAGGGTTAAATGGAGTCTGTTCCAGCCAGTTCTGTTCACATCTTCTCCTTTAACCACATTGAGCACCGGAATAGGGCCTAATTTTACATACTTCAAGCGACCAGTCTGAGTCGTAGGTGACCCTAGCATGACGAACGCCCGCGATGTTTGTATGAACATTTGCTGATCTTTCGCTCAGTAAGAACCCAGAGAGCCCAATGCCCCTTAAATACGGAATATATCTTTGGTTTTCCTTACTTAAAGGGTATTGGGCTCGCTGAACCCCGATAGGCCCCAGAGCAACCCCTATATAACCCATATAGTAGCCCTTTTATAACCTAACCCTTAGGGTCACCCTGATAAGCTTCCTTCGGCAGGGCTTCCAGCTTTATTCTGGGCGGCAGCTTGATGCTTACTCAGGATGGAACCGTAAAAGGTGGCGCGACTTCTGCGATCATCAGTAGGGTTTAGGGTGTGGGGTTTAGGGTTATTTAGGTTTTAGGGGGGGTTACCGCTTTAAGCATCGGCTTGTGCTGCCCCGTGTCTTAAACACCAGCACGGTCGCGTCACCAAGGGTGGCAACCCATGAGCACCCAAGAGCTGTCAAGTAATTTAATCACTAAAGTTTCAATACAACTATTTGAAGGAAACTCTCCTTTAAACCCTCAGCCCCAGAAACCCTAAACCCTAAACTCTCACAATCAAGGGTTTCAGTTTCCTTGCTCGCTGTGCTCCCAAGAATCCAAGAACAGCTTTCCGACGTTTTCAAAAGGCGCTGAAGGCTCTGACAGATGCAAGGCTCCTTCCCAACCCATTTTCAAGGCCCCTTGCCATCCTGGCCACGGCACCAGCAAGATATTCCAGCTGAGGAGACACATGAGTATCGGTATCTATCGATCGATTATCTATGTTTCTATAAATCTATTAACCTATCTATCTATTGTCTATCAACCTACCTACCTACCTACCTACCTACCTACCTACCTACCTATCTATCTGCCTATCTATCTATCCATCCATCTATCCATCTATCTATCTCTCTATCTACACATTTCTACACATGCGTGGAAGCCTATGTGCCTGCATACATACCCACCTGCATGTTACGCATGCACTCCTTGCATGCAGAACTATATCATAGGGGCCGGCAAACACAAGAAACTAGGGGTGTCCCATTGTGCTGTGCGCCTTCCAGGCCTCACAAATGAACGGAACAAAGCCTTGAAGCGACATTCCCACATGTGGAGGAGGCCAAAGAGTCCCTCCAACGAGCCGTTGCCGAAGCTTCTGCTGAGAGACTGGGCACAGGGCGTAAGACCTGCGGGTTGTTCGGGCATTCTGCTTTCTCATGCCGACTAATGCATCCAAAGACTGCTACTCCGTTGAAGCTGCTGCTTCTCTGTTTGATATAGGCCCAGCAGCAGCAACAACCACAGGCACAACCACCACCACCACCACCACCACCACCACCACCAACAACAACAACAACACAACAACAACAACAACAACAGCAACAGCAACAGCAACAGCAACAACAACAACAACAGCACC